GACAGCTTGAGGCTCTGTCTCAAAAAAAAAGTATATATATATATATATACTTATAAATATATATAAAGTATATATATACATATATATATATCTTTGTTTCAAAAATGAAGGCTGCTAAAAATAAGCCAAGTGAAAAATTTGTGAATGAATGGGGAAAAGAACAGTTTGAAATGGTGATATCTGGAGGCTAGGAGCTGCTCAGCTGCTGAAATGTATAGAAGAATACAAATTGGAAAAAATAATCATATGATATTGAATAGCACAGAAAAGTTTTGAGGGCCACTTTTTAAAAAAAGCCCAAACCATCACCTTTCAGAACTGGAAAGATAAGGAAAGCACCACTGCTAAGGATGCCCAAAGAATGCCACAGCAACGCATGCCACCAAATAGGGACAGGAAGTAAAACTGTCAACTACCAAAACACACTGCCCCTGCTGCTGCCACTGTCTGTCCCAGGAAAGTAGAAGCCTCATATAATGTTTTCATTTTTTTGACTGAAAGGTATAACTATATAATGTTTGACTGGCCATGTTACTCAATTCCAACACAAGGTTCACGTGAGTATATCTGATAGAACTTAGGTCACATAACTGTGTGCCAAATACAAAGGACAGCTGGAATCTGAGCTGACTCCTAATTTAGAGAAATCACAGGAAAAGTAATGTTTTCATATGTCTCTGAAAGTAAGCTGTATACCATTAAACATGTTTGCGGGATTTCTTTTTTTCTTTTCTTTTTTTTGTAGTTTTTGGCCAGGGTTGGGTTTAAACCCACCACCTCTGGCATATGGGGCCAGCGCCCTACTCCTTTGAGCCATAGGCACCGCCCTGTTTGGGGGATTTCATGGGGTCCTAGTTAAACACCTTCCAAGGAAGCAGCTTCTCCCCTTTCGTGCGCTTAATGTCAAAGAGGAGACTCAGACAATGGCAGGGCTCTTACAAGACAGATAGTGGGAGCATACTCATGTCACAGGCAAGACACAGCCAGAAAGCAAATGATAAACTGGCCCAGACAGCCTCTGTCCAGAGACCACTCTAAGATTGTGGTAGTCTTTCCCGCTTCTTACCTGTATTCAATCTGGGTGTTTCCTTCATAAAAGGAATTTAAGCTATTCCTGCAAGAGTAACCTTTAAGATTTATGAGTTGCATCTGTGCTGAGGTAGCTTTGTTTCCTGGAAATCTCTGGGCCAGGTTGCATCATACTGACAAATGACACAGTGTTGGCACTGTGAAATATTTGAGTAGACTTTTTAGTTTGCATCTTATAGAATACTATACTGACTGTGTTAAATTATGACTTTGATGATAGATACTAGAGCAATCACGAAAAAACAAAAGGAAAATAAATCATCCCCATTTGTACCTTGGCGCTTGTAGCTCAAGCAGCTAAGGTGCCAGCCACATACACTAGAGCTGGCAAGTTCAGATCAAGCCTGGGCCTACCAAACAACAATGACAACTACAACGAAAAAGTAGCCAGGCATTGTGGCAGGCACCTGTAGTCCCAGTTACTTGGGAAGCTGAGCCAAAAGAATCGCTTAAGCCCAGGAGCTGGAGGTTGCTGTGAGCTGTGATGCCACAGCACTCTACCCAGGGTGACAGCTTAAGGCTCTGTCTCCAAAACAAAACAAAACAAAACAAAATCCCCATTTGCAAAGACAAGTTGGTGAAAAGAATTTACTGACATTCAATTAAAAATTGACTCTCTGGGCTCAGTACCCATATACCAGTGGTTAGGGCACTGGCCACATACATTGGGGCTGATGGGTCTGAACCTAGCCCAGGCCTGCTAAACAACAACAAAACAGCCAGGCATTGTAGCGGGCATCTGTCCCCAGCTACTTGGGAGGCTGAGGCAAGAGTATCACTTAAGCCCAAGAATTTGAGGTTGCTTCGAGCTGTGACACCATGGCATTCTACCAAGGGCGACATAGTGAGACTCTGTCTCAAAAAAAAAATTTGACTCTCTGTTGAGCATGGTGGTTCATGCCTGTAATCCTAGCATTCTGGGAGGCCAAGGCAGGAGGATCCCTCAAGCTAGACCAGTTTAGCAAGAGCAAGACCTTCTCTACTAAAAATAGAGAAAATTAAAACTTAGTTGACATCAGGGTAGAAGCCTGTAGTCCAGCGGTTCTCAACCTGTGGGTCGCGACCCCTTTGGAATTGTATTAAAAGGTTGCACCATTAGGAAGGATGAGAATCACTGCTGTCATCCCAGCTACTCAGGAGTCTGAGGCAGGAAGATGTTCTGAACTCAGGACTTGGAAGTTGCTAAGCTGATGCCACAGCTCTAGCCTGGGGGCAACAGAGTGAGTTTCTGCCTCAAGAACAAAAAAATTGACTCTCAGAGGCGCCTCTGGCTCAGTGAGTAGGGTGCTGGCCCCATATACTGAAGGTGGTGGGTTCAAACCGGCCCCGGCCAAACTGCAACAAAAAATAGCCGGGCATCATGGCGAGTGCCTGTAGTCCCAGCTACTCAGGAGGCTGAGGCAAGAGCCTAAGCTGAGCTGGAGGTGGCTGTGACCTATGACGCCACAGCACTCTACCAAGGAGGATAAAGTGAGACTCTGTCTCTAAAAAAAAAAAAGAAAAGAAAAGAAAAATGAGTCTCATACATTCTGTAATAACGTGAGCGCAACTTTTCCCTCATTGATCTGTTTTGGAAACTTTGATGTTTTATCACATATTTGACCACCAACACTGACTCTACTATTAGCATCAGGCATTTCTGATACTGCATGCAGTAACCTCATTTAATGTCATTTCTTGAACTATCCCTTTAAACTAGGTACAGAATTAGGGGTATATAATTACACATTACCTATGATATTGCATGAATTTTCCACACTTAAGGTCTTTCTCACTTCATTTTTGGTACATGTTCTGCTTAACTTCTCACATTCTAAAAGATCTACTCATAAGCAAAATGTCCTATTGGCTCATATTCTCCAATATATATGTCTGTGAATGGTATACAGAAGAAATTAAAATTATTCCATCTCAACAGATAACAGGGGAGGGTTAGCAAAGGCCCTGAGTCTGGGACTAAGGTCCAGGTCTGTAGTGAAGAAGTGAGGAGGTAAGCAAGACACACCTAGGAGTCAAATCTAAATGCAAGCTCAAAACCAAAAGGACTGTGTGGGGTTGGCAAGTGTAGCTCAAGTGACTAAGGTGCCAGCCCCATACACCAGAGTTGGCAAGTTCCAATCCAGCCCAGCCCACCAAACGACAGCTGCAACCAAAAAATAGCCAGGCGTTGTGGCAGGCACCTGTAGTCCCAGCTACTTGGGAGGCAGAGGCAGGAGAATCACTTGAGTCCAGGAGTTGAAGGTTGCTGTGAGCTGTGATAAAACAGCACACTCTACCCAGGGTGACAGCTTGAGGCTCTGTCTCAAAAAAAATAATAAAAAAAAAGGACTGTGTGGGGACAGGTCCCTTGTAAGACATAGGAAAATAAAAAATACTGAGAACAAGTAGGAAAGAGACCTAGAGTACCTTGGTACATTGAGGGTCCCATAGAAATATGTGCAATGCAGTGGCCTTTTCCCTCCATTTTCTTAGTGGTAAAATGTACATAACTTCACCATTTTAACTAATTATAAGTGTACAGTGAAGTGACATTGAGAACACATCCTCAGGTTGGGAGCAGCAGGTCATGCCTATTATCCCAGCACTCTGGGATGCCAAGGTGGGCAGATCACCTGAGCTCACAAGTTCAAGACCAGCTCTGAGCAAGAGTGTGACTCCGCCTCTAAAAATACCAGACATTGTTGCAGGTGCCTATAGTTCCAGCTACTTTAGAGGCTGAGGCAAGAGAATCACTTGAGCCGAAGAGTTTGAGGTTGCTGTGAGCTGTGACGTCACAGCGCTCTACTGAGGGCAACAAAGAGACTCTGTCTCAAAAAAAAAAAAAAAAAAATTCAACAACATTCATCCTTGTATGCAGCTATTAGTATCCATCATCAGAACCCTTTTCATCTTGCAAAATTAAAACTCTATACCCATTCCCCAATTTCCCTATCCCCTGGCAAATGTCATTTGACTAGGACCATGAAACTGACCACTCTAGGTACCTGATCTAAGTAGAATTACACAGAATTTATCTTTATATGAATGTTCCATTTCACTTACTATAATGTCCTTAAGGTTCATCCATGTTGCAACATAGGAGAGAATTCCATTTTTTTAAGGCTCAGTTAGTATTCCATTGTGTGCATAGATTGCCTTCTGTTCATTCATCTTTCATAAACACTTGAAAAGCTTCCAGGGCAATGCCTGTGGCTCAGTGAGTAGGATGCCAGCCCAATATACCAAGGGTGGTGGGTTCAAACCTGGCCCTGGCCAAACTGCAACAAAAAATAGCCAGGCATTGTGGCAAGTGCCTGTAGTCCCAGCTACTCAGGAGACTGAGGCAAGAGAATTGGCTAAGCCCAAGAGCTGGAGGCTCCTGTGAGCTGTGATGCCACAGCACTCTACCAAAGGCGACAAAATTAGACTTTGTCTCTAAAAAAAAAAAAATTTCCACATTTTACCTGCTGTGAATGATCACGTTATGTACATGGGTATACAAACACCTATTTGAGAACTCACTTTCAATCTTTTTGAGTATCTTCCCAGAAATGGAAATACTAGATGTGTTATTTCTATACTTAATTTTCTGACAACCTGTCATACTGTTTTCCACAGTATTTTACATTTCCATTGACAGTGCACAAGGGTCTCAATTATTCCATATCTTTGCCAGCATTTATTTCTTGATACAGGTAGTACCAATACCAATGAGTATGAGGTGATATGTATGTCACAGGTTTGGTTTTCATTTCCCTAAGGACTAATAATGTTGAGGATCATTAAGTGCTTACTGGCCATTTGTATATCTCTTTTGGAGAAATTACTATACATCCTTTCCTTATTTTGTAATTGGGTTATGTCTTAGTGTGGGCTACTAAATCAAAATATCAAACTAGATGGCTTAAACAACAGATTTATTTCTCACAGTGTGAGAGGCTGGAAGTCAAAGTGTCAAGGCACTGGCAGATTGGGTGTCTGGTGAGGTCCTGCTTCCTAGTTCAAAGAATACTATGTATCTTCTAACTTAATCTGTTTATGGTGGAGAGCAAAGCTAGCTTTCTAGGGACCTCTATCAAGAGACTAATCCCATCTATGAGGCCTTTATCATTATGATCTCCTCTCATTCTAACACCCCCAGAGACATTTCTTCTGAATATAATCACATTAAGAGGTAGGGTTTCAACATACAAATTTGGGGTACATACACTCAGTCCAAGCCTTCAGTCTCTGACCCCCTAAAATTGATGTCCTTCTCACAGGTAAAATACATTTATTCCATTCCAAAGGCCTCTAGTCTTAACTAATTGCAGCAGGAACTCTAAAGTGTCATCTCAATACATATAAATCAGATATGGTTAAGAACTGATTCATGTTGAGGGAAAATTCTTCAGCTACAAGAAACTGAACTAGCTGTGTGTTCCCAAAATACAATAGAAAGAGGCATAGGATAACCATCCCCATTCTACAAGAGAGAAGAGAGGACAAAGAAGGGGTAAGCTCTCAAGCAAGTCCAAAACCCAAAGGGTAAACTGAAGACTTTCTATATTCTTTACACTTGTAGTTTTCCTCCACTATGCATTCTCGTGTGTACTTGAAGGTTGTGTGATAAATGAAATATTTCCCACATTCCTTACATTAGGGTCATCTCCACTGTGACCTCTTTCATGTCTTTGAAATGAACTGGAATAACTGAATGTTTTCCCACACTTCTTACATTCGTAGGGCTTCTCTCCAGTATGAGTTCTTTCATGTATTCGAATGGAACTAGCATAATTGAATGCTTTGCCACATTCTTTACATACATAAGGTTTTTCTCCAGTATGAGTTCTTTCATGTGTTCGAACAGAACTAGGACAGTCAAAGGCTTTACCACATACTGTGCATTTATAAGGTCCATCTCCAGTGTGCAGTATCATATGTTTTCTAATCCTTTTGAGAGAAATGAAAGCTTTTCCACATTCCTTACATACATAGGGTTTCTCTCCAGTGTGAGTCCTTTCATGTATTTGAAATGAACTGGGACAGTCAAAGGCTCTACCACATACTTTGCATTTATAAGGTCCATCTCCAGTGTGGCTAATCATGTGTCTTCGAACACTTGGGAGAGAAATGAAGGCTTTCCCACATTCCTTACATTCATAGGGTTTCTCTCCAGTGTGAGTCCTTTCATGTGTTCGAACATTACTGGAAGAACTGAAGCTCTTACCACATTTATTGCATTCATAAGGTTTCTCCCCAGTATGAGTTCTTTCATGTTTTCGAACATAACTGGGAAAAATGAAGGCTCTCCCACATACCTTACACTTATAAGGTCCATCTCCAGTGTGCCTAATCATGTGACTTTGAAAATTTGTGAAAGAAATGAAGGCTTTTCCACACTGTGTACATTCATGGGGTTTCTCTCCGGTGTGAGTTCTTTCATGTATTCGAAATAAACTGGGACGGTCAAAGGCTTTCCCACATTCCTGACATTTATAAGGTCCATCCCCAGTGTGCCTAATCATGTGTCTTTGAAAACTTGGAAGAGAAATGAAGGCTTTCCCACATTCCTTACATTCATAGGGTTTCTCACCAGTGTGAGTTCTTTGATGTATTTGAAATAAACTGGGACGGTCAAAGGCTTTCCCACACTGCTGACATTTATAAGGTCCATCTCCAGTGTGTCTAATCATGTGTCTTCGAACACTGGGAAGAGAAATGAAGGCTTTTCCACATTCCTTACATTCATAGGGTTTCTCACCAGTGTGAGTTCTTTCATGTCTTCGAAAAGATTGACAAGAACTGAAGGCTTTCCCACACTGCTTACACTTATATGGTTTTTCTCCATATTCCTGGTATTCATATGGTTTGTGTCCAGCATGAGATCTGATGTGCCTACTAAGGGATGAATGATGCATAAAAACTTTCCCACACAAACTACATTCACATGGTTTTACTATACTAGGAATCTTCTTGTTCAGATTGAGATTTAGAATCTTGCTGAAGGTTCCTCCACATGGATCATGTTCACAGAGTGTCTCTACCATATGATTGCTGTAAAAAACAGAAAGCATATTAATGGTTTATTACTGACTTAATAAGTATTGGACTTCCATTTCTACCAGAATGGGGAACATGTAAGCTCTATCTTAATTGTCTGAAAGTGAATGAATTGAATGCTCTGTAAGAGGGTTCGACAGTAGCTATTATCAAAAATCACAATATTCGTATATATGGTTTCTTAATACTATTTCCAAATTAATTATTTTGAAAACATTGCACACTGTGTCACATTTATGGATGTATTTGTGGTTAAAAAAAAAAGTTCTGGCTCAGCACCTGTGATATATGAAACCCACAATATTCATATATACGGCTTCTTAATACTGTTTCTAAATTAATTATTTTGAAAACACTGCACACTGTGTCACATTTATGTATATATTTGTGGTTAAAAAAAAAAAAGTTCTGGCTCGGCACCTGTGGCTCAAGCAGCTAAGGCACCAGCCACATACACCTGAGCTGGCAGGTCGAATCCAGCCTGGGCCACCAAATGACAATGACAGCTGCAACCAAAAAATAGCCAGCATTGTGGCAGGCACCTGTAGTCCCAGCCACTTGGGAGAAAGAGGCAAGAGAA